GCCATTTGTGTTCCGTTACGAACACAACCAAAAAGATTTGAGAAATTAAAATGTAAAAAATCAATATTTTTGGTTTATGGAAAAATGCTAGTCATACAATTTCCATATATGAAAAAAACACTAATCATAGACCTTTCATGCAATTTTCTGTACGTAAGGAATCGTATGGAAAGTGTATGACTAGCATTTTTCTATATATGGAATTGTATGACTAGTATTTTTGGTCGTCCCGGGAAGGAAACATTATTAGTTTTTAAACAGGGACAATAGCGGCTCGCCCCCTCGTGGATAAATTGTCCTAATTATGAATGAGCATAATTTCTATAGTTGTTCCAATCATGAGCTCTCAAAAAAAAATTTGGTTTGATTACTTTTGATTTATCAGAACCAAAATTTATGAAGTGGCAGAGGTGTACTTCAGTTACGCAAAAATAACTTATTCGGAATACGCAAAAATTTTTGTTGTCTCCAAATCATTGCCTAAACTTTTGTTTAAGCTCAGCGCAGATTCGGAGCTAATTGAGTGCAAAAACTCACTATAAGATTTAAGAGGAGAAAAAAAAGAAGAACTATTTTGCTGTTTTTTATTTGGTTTTTTTTTCTTTCTTGTGTTATTTCATTTGATAAGAAAATAAGTGTTTCAAAACTTAGTTTTTCACATATCCACCGAAATCAATGGAACTCAAGGTAGCTCGATGGCAGAAAACATTATGGCTAAGAAGAGATGTTTTCTGACTAAACTGAAAAAAATGCTCTTATTTACAAGAAAAACACATTAGCTAGTGCATCTATGGAGCCTGACTACTATTGTTCGACTGGATTGTTTGTTTTTCTAAGTGTATTGTGCAAATGTTCAAGTTTTTTTTTGCTTATTACAAACATTTAGCTCTGATTGACTTAGGATAAATGTTAACCATGATTACACAACCAACAATGGAAACACAAAGTTAAAAATTCTTTAGTATTGCTGTGTATTATTATGTTTAATGTGAAAATATGTAAAATAAAAGAAAAAATTTGAAGCTGACTAAGACTTGCAATTTGAATTTTTTTCTTTCATTTTGCTAATGAAGTGTTCTTTTTAACATATTAGTTTATCTCTTGAGACCGCAAAGGCTTGTGGTCAAATGCGGCTGGGATAATTCGCCACGCATAAATATCTTGCTTCAGACTTTTAGCATCGAAGCGATGGTGAAACCAGAGTAGTACAATGGAGAAGACAACTGTTTTATAAACACAAAGACCCCACCTGGTCTCCTGGGTTTCTCGGTTTTCTGACCTACTTCAACATTACGATTAAGAAAGTATGGGCATGAAATGTTGCCTTTAAAAGATCTGAGTTTTGAAGAGTTTTATTTGGGAAGGGCAATATCTGACTTTCTGATTATTTGTCCGTCGGATAGTTCTACAGTTGAACTAGAGGTGTTATCATCTTTTTGTTTAGTTCCTTATAAAACGGGTTTCCATTGATGTTCCCATTCGTTTTCCGTGGGGTTTTACCTTCAAACGGACTTTGAAGCGGTAATCTAGAGGTGGAGGGTTTTGAACTGGATATGTAGTCTGTATCGTATCTCGTCTCTGCAGGTGTCAAGTTTTTCTTGGAGATCAGTGTATCTTTGTATCCATCTTCCACTCTGTCGTCCGCATTCCAGTCCCTTGCTCTTTTTTTGGAGAGTTTAGATTTTCTTTGTCTAAAAATCCATTGGATGGTTTACCAGAAGCCAGTTGTTTCCAAATAATGTTTGGTTTTCTATAAAATGGTAATTCGAAGGGAGAACGTTTGATTTTTGATTGATAGGAAGATCAAAGGTTCCAAATAATTTTGAGAGAGCGTCTTGTAATGTACATTTTTGGGTTTCAATTTGGGACGAATTTAATGTATTGGTTTATAGATCATAAAAATGATCTTAACTCTTTGAGATTTTTTGTAATGGGTAAATCCTCTATTGCTTCCGTTTTGTCGAATAAAGGAAAAATTCCAGTCTTTGAGATTTTAAATCCCAACCATTCGATTTACGTTTGAAAAAATTCATACTTTGACCATTTGAGGGCGAAGTTGTTTTCGTCTAACGTTGATAAGATTTTCAACACAATATTTTTGTGGTCTAAAAAACTTCCTTCGGATGCAATTAAAACGTTTTCTAAATAACAATTTGTAAAAGGGATCGTACCTAGCGGGATCATACCTATCGTACCTAAACAGTTTGTAAAAGGGATCGTCCATGAGTCTTTGAAATTCGGCAGGCATATCACCTTAGCCTTAAAAACCAATTAAAAATTGGTAGGTACCAGTAATATTGCCGCCCACTATACTAAAATTACATTGGTTGCTAGTAAACTTGTCTAAGGCGAGTTGACTATATTCCTTTTTCAAATACAAATTTGTAAACCAAACTTCTCGAACATAATCATTTGATGTGTGCCGATACATTGTCTACAAGTTCGTGGATATTAGGCATCTGATATTTATTTTTGCATATCGGTTTAGTAATAAATTAAGGGTCTAAAGCCAACTTGATCGATTTGTCTTTTTTACAAGTAAAAACAAATGGGCTGATAAAACAACCTTCATCACAATTTTCTAATTTCTTGATGTGTCCTTCGCTTTTTAATCGGTTAAGTTCAGTTTTAACTGAATCCAGTAAGTGCAGGGAGACTCGTCTTCCTTTTATTTGAATGGGTTTAAGGGTTTAAGAAAATGGGTGATTTTGATCTGATTTTTTATTTTTCCAATCCGAAGGAATAAATTTTTAAACGTTTTGGAGATGTTAATGAATTCTCTTTCTGATTCTGCTGTTGAAATAAAGTTTGTCTTCTTATACGTCTGGTTTGTGTCGAAGTGTGGAAAGTACTTCTGTGAAACTTCTACCCCCACTTTAGGCAAATTGTCGTTTTCGAGTATGTTCCTCTCATGTCCTTCTGTCAAAAAGAAGCTGCAGTCATCGTGTGACTATCCATTTGAAAAAATAGGTAGTATCACTTTCGCAGAAATGTTTATGGCGTTGTCCGTGAACCCGCAGTATAAGTTTCTGATTGCCTTATCCACCGGATTTTGAGATTTTGAGATTTGTGTGCGGGTGGTCCGTTGGGTTTAAAGTTGTTTGTTAGTTTTAAGTGTTGAAAATTCCCTTTTCATCGATGAGTGCCACATTTATTGCGTCTCGCGGAGGTAGTATTTCAGTCAGGAGTTTTCGTTGTATGTCATAATTTTTCATGTTATTTATGAAGATGTCCATGATCCATCCTTCCTCTCCCGCGGCTATGTCACACTTTTTAGCCATTTCGGCTAAGGCTCCCCAAAATTGTTCGAGTGACTCTCTGTCTCGTTGTTTTCTGTTTAGAAATTTGGGCCTTTCAAAGGTGACGTTTGTGAACATTTGTCCGAAAAATTGTTTTCCCTCATTTCCTAGGGCTAATTAAAGGATCGATCGTAATTTTTTGTCGGCTTCTTCTATTCTCATACCGTTAAATTTCTTGGTTTCTGATTTGATAGATGCCGTTTCCTCTTCGTCGTATCGTCTTTGTTCTTGAATATTCCTGTCTATTCTAGATTTTCTTTGGCTTTCCGATTCGTTATCCGTCGGATTTTCCAATGTTGGTGGTTGGGGATGGTGTCTTTCCGATGGGTTTAGTAGATTTTCGATGTCTATGTTTTCTTTTGCGATAATAGCTAAATGAAAGATATCACTCTAATCTTCCCAAGGTATAGGTGGGTCTACCGTAAGGTTCTGCCAAAATGGAGGTTTTCTCCTCACGTTAGATTCGTTATTTGACTGCGCCATGATAAAATATTACTTTGTTACAGCTAACTCTACTTTATACAATTAAAAAAATAAAAGAATAAAAGTGAAATAGTCTTAAGTTAAAACATTTTAAAAAGTGAAGAGAGCATTGTATCCGCCGGAGAGAATGAAATAAAGAAGGTCCTGTTAGAATGAAATAGTAAGAAAGGTTAGAAAGGTTATGTAACAATTGCTAACAACATTAAATAAGTTGAAATCACATCAGGGTTCGATCTCTTTTGAAGCTTACCGCCAACAAACGGAGCTTACCGCCAACAATAGTTGTTTCAGCAGGCCATTAAAAAGCTCTTCATAATGCTAGGTTGACGAAACACCTGCGTTTCTAGTATTTACATCAATATTTTACAGTTCGTAAAACAATTTCCTTACTCCAATTGAGCAATTTTTTTAATATACGTTTTTCTCAACATTTGGTGACTTGGTTTTGTTTAATATCCACATGTGATATATACTTTTTTAAAATTGTAACTGCCATTACTTGATTAACGTATAGTTAAATGTAAAGTTTACTGTTTTTTTAGTTTATTTATTTAAGTATAAAAAAGAAAGAAAAACATACCTTTTTAATTTAGTTTCCCCTGAAAGCAGCGACAAATTTTTAAAATAAAGACCATAAACTGGAGTCTGTGATGAAAAACTCTGCCAAATTTGTTCACGCGAGGATAAAATTCCGTAAAGGCAAAAATAATTCATCATTTTGAAGCAAAAACTTTCATCAGCAATTACAGAATGATTGTCAGCAATTACAGAATGAAAATGTGAAAAACTGTTGGTTTATGCGTCATAAGGTGATATTTGAAGGTTTCGGTGCGTATTTGTGTCCTCTTTTTTTAACATTAAAAAATTAAAAAAGAATTAAATCCGAATTATCATACAAGGATATATCGTTTATGTTGGAGTTATTTCAGTGATTAGCTTCTAAGTAATCTTATAGTTTAGCCTGACTGAACACCTAGTGTAGGTAGTTATCGCTTGCTCAGCTGCACAAATGTTCATTGCTACCCCACCGAACTACTCATGCTGATTGCTGCAGCCATCAAAATTAGTTTTGAACCTTTGGACATAATTTAATTGAAAAGCAGCAGCTTTTCTACATTTTTCTTGCGGTGCTTTTTTCTCCTGTACTTTATCTGTTTCATACTGTAACTATCATTTTCAATATTTCTTCACCTGCTTTAAATTAAATTTTAATGGCCCCACTTTTTGTTCACGTGCACGAATTTTTAGATATTTGTTTCCTCATTTGATTAAGAAAAGACTTTCAATAAAATTTCGGACCAGAATTGAATCAGAGAATGACACAGGTAAAAAAAGGTCAGCTTTTATTCAAGTTATTTTTAAAACTTCTAATGATAATAACTTCCCGAACACTAAAACAAAAAAAACATTGTGCAAGTAAACCAGCTGCAAGTTGTCAAAAATAAAAAAACTTTCTTAAAGTATAATTTGCGTGACAGAATGAAATAATTTGAGACTTAAAAATTAATTAATATAACTGAAATTCACCTTTTGCTGAAAAACTTTTCAATCAAAACTGGTTGGGTACTGTAGATGAATAGCGTTATATTTTCGGTAAATATGTTCTAGACTGCCAGTGCAATTTTCGAGAGAATCAAGAATCACCCAGGCGTGCTGGGAATTATGGTGGTAAATGCACAAGGTAATCCATTGAATCATCTTTTATAGCATTAACTCATATTTCAAGAATATCATTATGTTTGATTATGTAACATGGTTAATTAAAACCGATTAAAAGCGAAATAATAAGGATCTTCTAATGTCTTTAATTCTACATAAAGAGGATATCCATCCCATTCTTATTCTCATTAATTTCTGGTGTAAGAACGTATTATGGCCAGGTATTATGTGATGCTCAATTTCTTCTTTTGCAGGCTACCCAATTAAGTCTTCAATGGACAACCCTACCACTATGCGGTACATTGAGTCCTTGGGAGGGGTGCTGTACTCGGCCAATAATCTTGTGCGGGATTTAGAACCCGAGAATGAAATGCAAAACATCCGAATCAGTGCCGAGAAAGACTGCTCTACTCAGGGTAACAGCAATCAACAGATACAATTTTTTGCGCTGTATGTCTCTAGACTCCGAATCACGTCTGAGTTGACTTTAAAAAGATTGGTCACTTGAACTACTACAAAATAAATCGGGGTACCAGATTTTGTAAAGCTAAAACCCAATAATGTCATCGTCCATTTACCGAAACAGTTCAAACCCTGCATTGCAGTGAAATTAACAATTAATAGCCCACCCACCTTTATTTTGAGAAAAAAATTCATACATGGATATTGGAACAATTCTTTTTTCAATAGTCAGCAGAGTTTCCCGAGCTCTGATGCAATACATTTCATTCAATTGGATTGCTTTTGCTTGAACATTTTTTTGTTGTTAACCGAAAATTCAGTGTTGAGCAAGCTGATACAGTGCTGATTTAACATAATCTGGTAAAATCAACAAAGCTAAAAGTTTTCATTTCTTTTCTCTGAAAATATTTTAACTCTAAGCAAAAAATTCGAGAACATTTGGACAAGCATTTTTACAGAAATTGTATGGCGCAATTATTTTTTGAAATTTTGTTCAAAAGTTAAATTCAGAGAAAAAAAATTTTCATAATATTTTGTCTGAAGTTAACAAATTTTTTACAAAAACGAGCATGTAAAAATTAAGTTTAATCAATTTATCTGGTTGCTTTAAATCAACTCGGTCTGAGGCTGTTCAAAACAAAAGGCAGTGAAAGCTTGGTAAACCGCTGTCAAATGTGTGATCAGAGCAATTCAAGTCATTGAAACGTAACTTAAAAAATCTGCATTTTTTGCTGGCAAAAACAATTCAACAACTTAAATAACAGTGAAATGAGAGAAAGTTTTATAATAAAACTTGTTTTAAAGTCCTCGTATATTATTAGTTTTGTATTTTTTCTTTAAAAACTAACAATGTTTTTGTGTTTTTTGGCAGAATTTATAAACTGTCAATAAACGTTTTCTTTTAATATATATACACACACAAATTTACATAATAAAATATATGTAAAAAATTATATTTATATATGAACAATTTTAATGTGCATTTGCAAATATGTATTTATTTTTTCATAATTTATATATATATATATATATATATATATATATATATATATATATATATATATATATATATAAACAGGAATCCTCGTAAGCCAGTGTGAAACCCTGAACAATCCGACTCCTTTTTAAGGCCAATTCAAAAGTTGTTCTGGTTGAATAAATGACGAAATAACGAAAAGAAAAGAATTTTTTTTTCTTTTCTTTTCTTAAATCCATCCTCCCACACGCTATATAAGATACAAAGGGTGTCTTCAACGTCTTCTTTTGTTGTAAAAGGAATAAACTGTTGGACGCATGTCAATTTGGAACGCATTAATTCGTTCGCCGCTCACACGTGTTTTAAGGACGCAGTATATTGCGTATTAATTATCGCAAATTGACCTTTCAAAGACGGCTTGAAAGTTCTTATTTTTCAAACCTTTTTTAATCTACAAAAAAGGTCACAGGTAAAGTATTATTCCGTCAAAAAGGCTTAGTTTAGAAATTGAAAATTGACTGATTTTGAAAAAAAACCATCCAATCTTAAATATTCCGCAATCTCGTCAAAAATTGGAACAAAACATTCTCCTTACTTGCTTTAACATTCAATTTTCAGTTGACGACGACTGTCTGAGTTCTTATGAAAAGAGTTGCACAAATGTCGAGACGAAAATTGATTACAGAAAGTTGTCGCACCATTAACCTAGATTCTCATAAATTATTTTTGTCTCATTCGAATTGTCAGCTTACAGTTTGGCCTCGTAATGAAATGTTTTGCTTTTGATTTTTTATTTACTCAAAATACAGGAGATCCAATTTTACTTTTAACTGTAATTTTTTGAATTCAAGTATTGATACCTTCATTGAGGGCAGCTGGGAATACTTTGGGTCAATGTTAAGTTTTTCAGGTCGACGTAAAAAGAAAGTTATTTTGTAAATCGTGTGATGTGATATCGATTTTCTCCTGAATAGATCTTCAAAAGATGCAATTTAGAGAAATTTTGTTTTTTAATTTCTTACTTAAATTAATGTTCGGATATCGGAAATATATTTGCTGTTTTAAAACTACTTCCATCCTTGCCTCACCCTTACAACTTTTGACATAAAATCCATAAAATCTATAACAAACACTGCACTGCTACCTTTTTTAAATCGAAAAGAGAATATTTTTGCCGAGTCATAAATACAGACACCGGGACTTTTAAAATGATCCGCAAACTTTTTAATCAATTGAAAATATTTCCATTTCAGACATGTCAACTGGGGCTAAGAAAAAGATGGTGAAAATTACAGAAATTATGATCTCACCACGTACGTAAGTTTAAAAAGTATATTATTATTTGCATGGGGTTCTTTGATTGTTTTTAGCCAGCCCAAATGAAGATATAAGTTGTCTTCGAGCAACTGTCGAAGTAAAGTATTAATTAGCTCTGCACGATGCACAGAAACAATCAAATCGTCAGAAAAGTTGATTGTTTCTGTGCTTTCTGTGCAGTAAAAGTGATTTACTGCCTGTGCGTGCACTACAAGACAAAACATACGCACTACTGTTAAAAGGCGAGCTTAACTTCAAAAACACAGAAACGCGGAAATAAAAAGTAGCCCCAACTTAACCTTCAAACTCGTTAGATTTCAAACCTAATGGCAAGTTTTTGATTTTGTGCTTAATAAATATTTATATACAAACCCATTTTTTTTTACCGCAACCACTAAATTGGAGAATAGCCAAAATAAATATTCAAATTTAATTGAACTAACTTTTGTGGAATCGATTTTAAACACAAAATGCTGTGAAACTTTGATGTGTTCAGATGAAAACCAGGCCCTCGTGGTGATCCAAGAAAGGGTCAAAAACAAAACGAAGAACAAAAAACTCGTGCCTATTTACGACAACTACATTTGATGAAAACAACTCAAAAAAGTTATGAGTTATGGACCCATTTATAACTTCAATTCAACCTATAACATGTTAATTTTGGCTTTTGTCGACTCGGTCAGTAACAAACTTAAGGTAACAGGCCTCCCAAAAGATCTCTTTGCTACTATTTACACGTGCCCAGTGTTAATGAAATCCATTTTATGTTGAAACCTAAAAATTTTTCTAAAAGTGCCTAGGGGAAGCGCCCGCCAAGAAAGCTGTCATTTTTTCCAAAACTTTTCCAGAGGCGCAGACACTTTCGGCCAAAATTTTTAAAAAAAAGTTTTAGGGCAGCTTAGAAAAAGTTCAAAAAGTTCAAACTGAAAACACTAAAAATTCTTTTGCACGCCACTGTTACCCTGTTACCTGTCGTTAGCACCAAGATATTCGTACGCAGAGTACCAGGCTTTGACGAAAACATTTTCTTCAAACTTTTAATGGGCATCGATTCAATTTCACGACTGGGATTCATTGAATGCCCTGTCTATTTAAAATTGTAGGTCGGGTTGAACTTTTGCCCAAAACTCGTTAAAACTATAATCATATTAATCACAAAATTATAATCAGAGTAATCATTCCATGTATTTCTGGCCACATAAAGCAGCTGAGTTGTTCTTTTTTGGGAAAAATACTAGTTTTACCTAGCAAAAAAACGCCGCCAACAAAAGGGTTCGTTTCATCTCAATCGGTAGTTTGATCTACTTTTTGCAGCGAGGGAGCAGAAAAAATGGGAACAGGCCTCCCTGAAGACATTCATCGAAGACATTCAAGCTCTGATAGTCGATGCGTGAACATTTTTTTGTTTTTATTGTTCCTCAGAGCACTTATGCATATGGTCATAAGAAAAGCGTAGAAAAAAGACAGGCGGTGCAGCTCTTAAACGGCTTATGCCGCTGTTGATCCACCTTTTGTTGAAAACTGAATACGCTTTGCGCGCTGTTGTTAAACGCGTTTTTAGTTTTCCGGCGTGATTGTCTCAACAACGCATGTTTGTGCTCATAAAGTACAGCACATGGAAACAATTATTTCATTTGTTTTTGAAAAATATTCCATAACTAATAATTAGGATGGAATGAGTCGCGACAACTTTTTGGTTTTTTGAATCTGAATTTTAAAACAGAATTATTATCAATTTAGTTGCTTTATACTAGAATTTTTTATTTTTTAATAAGTTATCAAAACATTTTAATGAGCTTTGTAAAAAATGCATTAGATGGTTTATTTTACCATTCTGAAATAAACGCGTTGTCTTTTCTAACTAGATTATAACTTAATTTTTTAAACACCGTTTAGTTAACCGTGTTATTATGAATACCATTTATTCACGCAGTGTGAGGCAACTTTTAGAAGTCAAAGATCTGTGCAGTAATAGCTGGTTATAGCTAGTTATTGAAGGCATGAAAAAAACTATGCTCAGCCGCGTGTACTTCGCTTTACTTTGCTGTTGTTTGCTTTTTATTTTGAACCTTTCGAATTATACCAGATCACTACGATTGGCCGCTGAAAACGAAAGTCCTGCATCTGTTCATGATAAAGAAGTGGATAGACCGACCTTACAAAAATGCAAAGTCAACGCTTTTGCGTTCGTCAAAAATCACAAATGCGGGACTATGACCTTAACAACCATGTTTCTCAGATCGGCCGAAGAAAAAGGTCTCGAAATCGCCTTGCCAAATAGCAGTTCGTGGAAACTAGATTGGCCAAACCCTGTGCGAAACGTTCACCCGTCGCGAAAACCAAGTCAGAAATACGACGCGCTAGTCTTACACGCAATGTATGACCGCGTAACTTGGGATCGAATTATGGAACCAGGTTACAAGCGCATTTCAATATTAAGATCTCCTTTCGAGCAGTTTAAATCTTTCTTCAATTTTTTCTTCGTCTACTATATTGTAAAATGGAAAAGAGATCTGCAAAATCAGAAAACAGACTTATCGGAGTTTGACGAGTTTTTAGCCAATCCGAGTCGTTACGTAAATTACATGTATATTCCGAGCAAAAACGTGCAAGCTTTTAACTTTGGGTTTAATAGAAGCATAGAAGAAACCCGCGATGAACTTTTTGAAGACAATTTTGTGGAAAAAATTCATAAAGAGTTCGATCTAATGTTGATAACTGATTATATGAATGAAAGTATGGTCCTACTGAAAGAAGAGTTTTGCTGGGATCTTCCGGATGTTTTATTTTCAATGAAAAACGACAGACCTTACAGAAACTTCAGAGACAAGAATGTTGCGCATCAACTAGAAATCGAGCGAGAAGAAAAATACAAAAAATGGGCGACTTTAGATTACAAACTATTCAACAAATTTAACAAAACCTTCTGGCTAAAAGTGAGAAGCATAAAAAATTTTGAGGAAAAATTAGAATCGTATCAAAGTATCCTGAATAGAGTCAGCCTTTTTTGTAGAAAAAATACAAAAAGTAGCGCTCTGACAATTTCTGAAAGCGAAAACTATTGGAAAGAATCATTTCAAATTGACAAAGTTTTCTGCAGTCGTTGGAAGCTCAAAACGTATGAGTATGTTCAGCTTTTGCAAGAAAAACGCTATGGTCACTCAGAGAAAAGAGACCCGGATAACTTTCTTCGTAACCCAAAAATGATGGAAGAATTTCGCATAGGCATTCAAAAAAACATGCAGATCTTGCAAAAAAAATCTTTATGAAAACAGAGCAACCAGAATAGCACTTAAACTTCGACTTGTACTTCTGATTTTAAATGATTATTTAAGGTTTTAATTTAAATTTCAAATCACCTAGAGGAATTAAACTCAACAAATAACATAAAACTAAGAAGCCAAAAAATCACTCTCTGATAATTCTAGGATGCTTTGAACAAAAAATTGTCTAGCAAACTTATACACAATGCGTGTAAAAATGTTTTCAAATGTACTTTTCCTGTACGCGGAAATCAACTACTATACGGCCCTTTGATACTAGTTTATGGCATCATTTTTTGTCCATCAACCCTTAAATTTTTCAATGGCGCCTATAGCGAAAACATAAACTATTTTTGATAAGCAAGCGCGTGCAAAACAAACGCATTTTTTTGGCGTAAACCTATGAAAAAGAGCCCAAAAAACAGCATTTTTGTTCTGTATTTTTTACGACATCTCCGTATGATAGCGAACTTCAAAAAATTTAGGTTTTTGGTGTAGTTTTTACGTCACGAAATGCTGTTTTTTGAAAATTTTCTTGAAACCTTGGAAAGTTTTGTTAGTAGCGAATTTTCAGAAAAACCCGGATGGAAAACTACAAAAAGCTTGTTCCAAATGTCTATTTCAACAGTGATATTTAAATAATGAGCAATCGTTTAGAAAATTGTCTTCCATTGCGTAAAACAGAGCGTAAATGGCTATTTTTGCGATAAATTGATAATACGCTAGTTGATTTTTGCGATAAATTGATAATAAATGGAATTTGCTTAAAGACTAGTTTCTGGAACATACAGACACAAAATTCTGCGCCTATCCAGTGCACAGTTTGGCCTCGTAATGTACTAATTGAGGTATCCTGCTGACGCATTTGATAAGAGAAGCTTCTAAAACTCTTGCCAGTTTTTTGTTCCGACTTTCGATACAAAAGCAGCGGAATATTTGTGCTCGGGTTGGGTTTTTTTTTCTTCAGACAAATGTCGACTTTTTAACTAGCCATTTTAGCGAAATTTTTACTATATCAAAAATCAATTGAAAGGTATTGTTGTACTGAGCTTAAATTTGAAAACATATTTTACTTCTGATCATTTTTTGTAAAATTGTGGGGATTAAAAGATTGTAATTTTGGCCAATTTGGGACAATTAACGCGCGATATGTTTCTCGTTATTAACGCGTAAGCGGAGATTGTTTAATCCGTCTTAGAAACCGTTGCAAATATGCAATGAAGCTTATTTGCCATAATTGGTTTGGGACAAGGAGCAAAATCTATTCTTTTGTACTTTATATGGCGTGTGAGGGGATGATTTTTGTAAAAAGTTTCAAATTTTAGAAAAAAAAATTATTATTTTTTTATTTTTACATTTAATTTTTTATAATTAATACTGCTCTATAAACCTTAAAAGGCACTCGGAAGATTCAAGGCTTTGCCCTGATGCGAGCAGTCTTGTTTTTGGCTCTTTTTCCTCCCCCCCCCTACCTCACACGAGCTTCAATATATTAGTGTAACGAAGGATTTTACGAGGTTGAGTATGAAGACCAAATATGTTTGCCATGGCCTTATTAGTCTGTATGTAAGTTTTCATAACAATGGGACAATGTGGTCAACAAATTTACTTGTAAAATTTTGCAGGTGGGGGGGGAAGGAAAAAGAGCCTTGTTTTTTTTTCAAGTCATTTGTTACACTGGTAAGTGTGTTTTCCAGCATCTCTCAAGTTGAGTCGCGTTAGGACAAACATAAAAGATTTGTTTGATGTTTTTTTTTTGCTTCGCTGCTGTGTACTAATCTATTTTATTTTACGGTTACTATAATTTATCGCAGTGAAATAATCAATCAGAGTCTAAATAGCTAAGTTATTGTTTCGGATAACTAAAAATCGAAATATGAATCCAATTTTTATACGCCAAACAATTTGAAGCAGTCAAATTATCTTTGAGTTTTTTCAAGTTGTGATTGCACAAACAAAATACAAGTTCTTTTTGTCATTGGACGCACAAGCTAAAGCTCAAGAAAAGCTCAATTTTAACTTTTTTATTACATTTTTTCAGAACGCTAGACCGCGGACCTTTTAGGGCGTTCGGACATTCATTCAGGAGTTTCTATGATGCCACCAGTATTGTTCTCAATTCAGACCAAATTATAGATAGAAATTTTGAGGATCATATGGGTTTCTGAGAAGGTTGAAATGCAAAGCGAGTGTGCTTGCCACTAGCCTAAATGCTAATGGAAGCGGTCGATTAATTCTTGATAGTTCCAATGCGCGACTTATTTCGGCGAGTTATCCAGCATGCAGCACGGAATTGAAACAAAATTTTTAAGCAATCAAAACTTTATTAAGCAAAAAATATTCGAGGCCAGTCAAGGGGCAGACAGAACATTTAAGGCTTTGCCCTGATAGGCGAGCAGTCTCATTATTTTTATGGCTGAATGATGAAATACTTTAAAAACTGTCCCTTAGTTCATGGCGAATAGTTTTTGGAAAAGAAAATAATGACAGGAAAAACCTAAAATTTTTTGACAATATCAAAGTATCAAATTTTAGTCGTACGAAGTGGTGGCGTCCCTCATGCTTGAAGGACCGAATGGTTGAAATTATTTTTAGCTTACTTTCAGCCAATCAGAATTGAGTATTCAAAATCTCAAAGTAAATCGCGAAAATCTCAAAGTAAGAAAATAAATCCAGGCCATTAGTGTTACTATTGACCGATTAGATAACAAGCAGATTTGATGATTATCTGAAAAGTTTTGGGGTTGTAACATTTAGCGATTTTGATTGGTTGAAATTTTTCAAGCATTCGGTCCTTCAAGCATGAGAACCCTCCCCGTACGAAGTTATTACGACCAATTAGCTAGCCTCAATTCAATTTTGAACAATTTTGTTGTGCGGGAAACTTCGCCACGCACAAATATTTCGCGTTACGCTCTCAGCATTATGAAAAAACTCTTTAAAGTGCGCATAATTTAGTCCAGAATATGGCAGTTTGGCAATTTTCAAACCCCCAGAACTTTACAAAACATAATCGGAGGTAAAGTATCTTTTTAAATTTGAACTCAGGATGTCGATATCTTCATTGGGGTATAAAAATTTTGTTGAAAACTATTATTTTGATCGGCGAAAATTGACGGAATAAAAAAACCACACCGAGCATAAATATTCCGTTTTCTTCGATAGTCGGAGCAAAAAAACTTTCGCTACAATTCACTTTCAAAAATGGTCGCCCTTTATAAGTTGATGTTTTTATTATCGATCGGATACCTCTTTATACGAAACTTTTGCATGAGATTTCTGCGTTTAGTCTTAGTTATCACAAATTGTTATCCTATAAATCGAAATCAGATTCGTGATTCAGATCAAACTTGTGGTAAAAGATCTAACTTGTGATATACCAAAGGAAACGATTGTTTTGCAGACAATTCTTATTGTAGTTCTAATCCTTTGAAAAGATACTGAAAAGAATAAGAAGAACAAAGAGAAAAGTTCATTTTGAGTCAATGAAGGAGAAAAACAGCTTTACTACATGGTTGTCAAAGTCTACCGAATAGTTTACATACCACTCTGAAGAATTGATAAAAGCAACTATTTCATGTTGTCTTTGTAAGCTAACCTGAGGAATTACTTAGAGATCAGGTTATACAAACTCGAACGTTGATTGTCAAAAACCAACATCCAAATGAAAGTCGTGATTAAAACTTTGAGCATTTTAAATATATTCGTTTGAGATATGGAATCTTTGTCAACATTTCTGTTATCACTACGACGATTATGGTTTGAAAACAGAGGCATCATTGCGATATGTGGCGTCACCATCATACAAATAGTTTTCGGCACCATTTTCGCAGCAGGTGATTGCATCAGGAGTTTTTAATTTGCTAGCGCTGCTACACATATTTAAATTTCCAAAACGACTAAATTTAAGAATCATCATCCAACTTTTTAAAAGTTCATAACCCGCCATTGCAGTTTAAAAATCTTCGATGCGTGGTTTTGGTTTGTGAAAAGTTTGGCTCGGCAGGGTTCCGAAAACCGAAAAAAAACATCCGAATTACCCCCCCCCCCCCCACTAAATCCGCTACTGGGCATGAGGGATCTTATGTTATGAGATCATTTACTATATGGATTTTTTACTATATTTTATGAAGTATGGGTTCTGCTGACGTGGTGCTGAAATGATTTTTATAAAACTTTGTTCAAAACTGACAAAAGGATCAAAAAGAGCGCAAGCTCAGTCGAACTAGCATTCTGTTTTTGAACCAAATTTCAATCGTAAGTTTCAATCGTAAACCAAATTTCAATCATAATTTCATTCTTCAAATCTGTTGTTGCCTGTTTTTGCACATTGAAAATCCAGCCCTTCTGAAGAAGAAGCAACTTACAAAAAATTGTTGTTTTTGGCAATCTATTCATCTTCAGCAAAACTTTAACTATTGTTCATTCTAATTTAATTAGTTCCATAAATTTTTTCTTGACAGGCAATATGACCCCCTACTTAACATCCTACCTCAGATTCAACACAACCACCGACCACAACATCGAGTACACGGTCAGTTTATACAACATCTCCTCTCGATCTAATTGCAGCTTCGCACGCAAGATAAACCCGATCCTTTTACTGCATTACCATGACAATTAAATTTCACAATAAATTTGTTATTAAGAAAGGAACAATTGTTCAAAATCTTTTAGCTGCCTACCGATTTATGCCTTCTTTAACAAACAATTTAACTTACAGCTTGTTTTCTGGCTACAGAAGATCTTGAATCATATAATCATTATGACACACACCAGCAGATTTAGGAGGGGGCAAGGGGCAGACGCCCCTTCCCCCTCAGGGATTCAACCCCCTGCCGACCCAAAGGTTCCTCTCTTTGTACTATTTGAGATAATCATTTTTGATTCACTGGCCCTAAAACTTTTCTAAAGGCGCCAAAATATATTTATTTTGAGGGGGAGCCCGACCCAAATGTTTTTTGTCAAACTTTTCCAAAAAGTGCCTAAAAACACCTTTTTTGGCCTGTTTCTTCAAATATTTGCCTACGGCGCAGAAAATTTGGTCAAAATGGGGTCTTTTTAGTGATTTGGGTGATCTCAGAAAATCAATTTGGTCGACCTAAAAAAAGTCGACAAAAATTTCAAAATTTTTCTGAAAATCCCCCCCCCCTCGAGAAAATTATCCGCCCCTGATCTTACATGAGCAGATCGCAAATGAGACGCAGAATTGAATTTAATCGACTGTTTTAATAAATTATTATGTCAGTGATGCATTTTTTTTTGTCATTTCAAGCAGTTTATGTCATTATTTCCGATGTATGTAATTCATTATTTCAAAAGGAACCAAATGAATTTTCTCAGACATTTGCAAAGCATCATATTATGCTGTTTTTTAACCATAGCTAATTCGGTTTTGATAGTTATTCCATATACTTATAAGGTTTTTTTGAACATTCGTTGAATATTATTTTTGTAATTAACTAGCATGCTTTTTTTAAAACGATATATGATGAACACATTTCGAGATGTTTGTTTGAAAACTTTTTGCATATTGTTTAGGAACTCACCTGTTCGCCTATAAAAGCCAGGTCATTTTGGTCATTTGTCTGTGTTTCAAGGAATCTTTTTACTTTTTTCACTCCAAAATTTTGATTTTACATTTTTCTTGATTAAGAATTAATTTTTCTGGATCAGACAAAATTAAGTTTTTTCTTCATCATTTGTACTTGAGCTTCTTCGTAACTTCGTGGCCGAAGCAAGACTACAACCAATCGCAAAGAGTGTCTCCTTTGAGTTCATACAAACACTGTTGTCCCAACATTTTTGTCACACTAAATTGTTCCAGAGGCGAGAAAACCCGGTTAGAAAAGTTTTAGTCTAATTTCGAGCAAAAAAAACAAGCGAGCAGGCATATTTCAGAAGGATAGGTAATGAAACTTTATTTTAGCTAGAGTAAATCTTTCTCGAAATTTTTGGCGCCCTCTTTGGATAAAAATTTACCTAGTTTCCAGAAAAATTCAGCAAAAAAAATTGAAATTGTTTTGAATTTTTTTCGCGTCGTTTTTCAACTGAACCCGTTGTCGGTGAATTCAGATTACAACCTGTTCTTTTAGGCTACACTTGTTCATTTTGGCTAGATTTAGTTTTTTCTGCGGTTTGATTCTTTTTATAGCGATGGTACACATTTTATTTTTTGTTGAAAGCATTTCTCCCTTGATTGATAACCTAATTTTTTTATCATGCGAAATTTTTTTTGATTTTTTTCAAACGAACTGATTAGAGTATTGTGATGCTTTCAATCAATAGCTTTCAGTTATTATCTGTGTGTTTACTTTCTAGCAACTAGTTTCCTTACTCTTTAAAAAAAACAATATGTCATTTATCATGAATTAGGGTGTCCCTCTTTGATGCTATTTTTAGAAGTTCACTTTCGGCCAACCAGCTATAAGCAAGACAGCGTCCATCAAAGCAAAACATTGAATGTTTTGATTGCCCTTTAAGGTATCTAATACTGTTTTTCAAAGAAAAAGATTCATTAACAAACAAACAATATATTTTTTTTCAAAATATCAAACGCAAGATGAAACATAAATTGATAAATTTAGGATGTGTTTACGCCACGTTTGAATCAATTAACGTTCCTTCAGTTCAAGTCTTGTAGTTGCTCTTGTCGAGAAATTTTTTCAAAAATTTTTTTACTCCGCTTGTAACCAAATTCAAGTAAGATTGAGTTTTTCGAATTTACAGCAAATGAAACATGCGAGCAGAGCAGGAAACTTTTTGATAAAATTCGCTGACTTTTTCAATTAAAGAATACTTTCCAGAATTGTTTTTTTCAAATTTTCTAAAATCTGAGTGAAAAAAGTCTATAAAGTTTCAGCTTTATAGGAGGGTTTTGTTGAAGTGTTAGCAGAGCCCCATTGATTTTAAGTTTGATATACGGAAACTAAACTTCTGTATTTCTTAAAAGACTCAGCTGTTATCAACCGACTACTCTTGTTTTTCCTCCCGTTTTTGACTAGTTTAACGAAAACTTGTTAGAGGGTGAAGTTCGATACCATATTAAACACCGTTCTTCGTTATTTGGATTTCAAAAAAATTTCGAACAATTTTTGTCAGTTTCAGTTTAGATACAGTTTTAACTGAATTTTCCAAGTTTTTCGACCAAATTTCAAAAACTTTGTAGTAACAAAATAGTTATTGCAAAACGAATGAGGCAACCTTTCGCTCATTCTGATAAGTCAGTCGACAGACGAACAAAATATCTCATTTTGCAATTTACATTGTGTGTGGGCAATAAAATTTAGAAAAAATGAAAGAACAACTCAATCTTTTTCATTTGTTCTGCACATTCTTCATCTATTTTTCAAGCACAATATTTTCATCCATCGAGATTAAAGGGCAGTAATGCAAGCTGTTCTGTTGTTCCGATTTTTAACAAAATTGACGGAATATTTATGTTTTAGGTGGTTTTTCATTCAATCAAATTTCGATTTTTCAGCCCAATTTTTATGCCATCTGAAAATTTTGGCTCTTTTTCCTAGTAATTTTTTCAAGTAATGGGTGGTGAAAAACGGCTAATTTGCCAATATGCTCGATATATTATGTTCTTATAACGATATGTAGCAAATTCAATCGTTCTAAAAGAAATTTCGGCCAGCAATAGGGTCCTTATAATACGATGCAAGACGCTAAATGCGCTCCTTTTTTCTTTTACATAGCACGTGGGCGGAAAAAGTCAGACATACTTGAAGAAAAATCAATTAATTATTGTTTTTTTTTAAAAACTTTTCTACCAATTTTTGGAAGCAAAAAACATCGTTTAGAGTTAAATTGGGGGCTCTTTTTCCTCAAACTTCACACGGCCATCAATTTTATGGTGTAACGAGTGATTTTACAATGTTAATTATCAAAACCAAATATGTTTGGCACAGCCTAATTAGTCCGCATGTCAATTTTCATAACGATCGGAAAATGTGAACAGTAACTTTACTTGTAAAAAATTGCAGGTGGGGGGGGGGAAGGAAAAGAGCCAAATTGGGCAGCCAAAAAATCAGAGCTTTGCGGATGATTTTTTATTGTTCACATTTAACTTAATACCATCTTTTAATCCTGATTTTTAAATTTTCAGAAGTCTGTGTGGATTTTCACGACAGGCAAGTCTGCGATGGGTCTGTTTGCAATTGTGGGGGGATTGCTGAGCCGTGTAATGCACCCACGCTTAGTCATCATTCTCGGCTGCCTGTGTCAGTGGTAAATATACTAATAAAAAAACCAAATAATCGGAAAAAGATCAAAAGGTCGTTGGGCCATACGAAATGTTGTCAAAACAGACTTACATGAAATAATTGTTGAAAGCACACTCAGCAAACTTACCTAAAAAAAATTTGAAAGCAAACTCGATTATGGCCAGACCATGTTTAATTACCAATTGATTTGAACTTAGGTTAGAAATTTAATTGTACAGTTATTTTTTAATAACTTATTTAATTACAATAAAATGAAAAGTGATTCACACCAAGCGACATTTTTGAAAAAAGTTAATCATAGTAAACGTTTTGTAGAGCTTTCAGTTCAATTTTGATCCCTTGTAGTTGCCAAAAATCTTTGCCTCTGCTACCAATTTGATCAATTTTGCTCTGATTTTTTTTTTGAAAAAAGTGAGAAAATTATCTGCGTGGCGTGGGGTGTCAATTTTGACAGCGTGGGGATTGCCCCTGAATTGTTCCTTGATAAATGGTTCCCAATTATGATTGGAGATGTCTTGTTCAAACTTGAAAACTTTAAAATCAAAAAACATTTATTCGTAAAGAAATTTTCCGCTTTCATAATCATTTTTAACGACTCAAAGTTAATTTTGATTTTTTGTGTTCAAGTTTTAAAGTTCATCTCGAGAACAGTTCAGGAAAAGTAGAAAATATTGGGTTTTGCCCTGATATACAAGCACTTTCGTTTTAATTGTTTACATGGAAAGTTTTACATAGAGACGAAGCTGAGCTTCGCATCACTTGCAATACATTAGAAACATGAAAAACAGTCCAAAAAAAAACGATAAATATTAGGTTATCAAAACTTCTGTATGTCTCAATACAAGTTCATTCTACGCGCAGATGCCAAGCAAAACATTCAATATCAAATTAGCGATGGAAAAAAAACAACTTACAAAGCAGAAACAAGGCCAAAAATTTTGAGCTGAGACACCAGTTGATCCTAATAAACTTAATTTTTTAAAAATAATTTTGTAAAAATCTCGAGAACAGTTCAGGGGCAATCGAAAAACTGTGAGTTTTGCCCTGATATACAAGCAGTTTTGTTTTATTTTAATACGTTGGTTGTTTTACGCCGAGACGAAGCGGAGCTTCGCATCGCTTGCGATACATCAAGAACATAAAAAATAGTCAAGAAAAAGAAAATATTCATGATAAAAAGTAGGTTATCAAAACTTTTGTACATATGACCAGCAAAAAATTTTAAAATCACATTAGCAATGGAGTCAAAAAACCTGCAAAGCGGAAACAAAGCCAACAACTTTTGAGCTGAGACATCAGTTGATCCCAATAAAAAAGATTTTGTATAAAAGAAAGCTTTAAGTACCCCTGAAAATGCTATGAAAAACACTTGCAAATTCGACCGTTCAATTTTGAACGGAAAAATTCAATTTCGTAAATAATGAAAAAAAAGCAAGATCCGACCGGGACTCGAACATCAGATTTTAGGCTGCAAAAGCGACCATGTTATTTATAGGCAGAGTGGGAACAAACATGCAAGCAGTTAAGGTCAAATAACAAAGCGAGTAAGAAAATCAAGTAGGATTTGAAAAAATACTTACGGGGAAAAAAGTATGTTGGCAAGTGTTATAATCATTCTAGTATATAAAATCTTATGTTCATTTTCCGCTTAATTTTAAGAATCTGATTGTAAGGCTGATATTGCTGTGATCCGAAAAACAATTTCTAGATTTAGAATATTAAAACGAGTTAAAATCAGAAAACAAATTACCAACAGCAACCTTTTCTTAAATTTGAGGCTCTAAAAAATTTTGCAATTAAACCAATTCAAAACGTTTTTAACCAACTTCATTTTCAAAAGAAACGAAATTTTAATGTCTGGTCAATTATACCCCAATTAATTTTGACAATACATACAAATGGCTCACATTTTGTTTTCGCCAGCAACGTGTTGAGTCGCTGGCTCATAATTCAATCGCCTCTCTTATAAGCTCTGAATTGGTCTGAATACCAAGAATTTTTTTTCAGTGCAGTCTGAGTCATGACTGAGATAAGGATTGCAGTATGATCTTGCAGCTGTTTTGATGGTTTCTCATTTTGAATGACAAAACACCCAATTTCAAACTTTATTATGATCTTTGGTTTGAAATCCAAATTCCTTCCGAAAAACGAATTCTGATTTCAAAACAAATCGTTTCAAAATCAGATGTTTAGTAACAAGTTGTAAAAATATACGCATTAACTGTTTCGTCTTCAAAATTAAGCAAAATCAAAGAGGAGTTATCTCATCTGATTCGTTTTTTGGTCAAGTTTTTTTCGATCATATTTCATTTCTGCTTCATATCTGCTGACATGTTCAATTGAAAAGTCAAATAAAACTACTTCTTACTTCACTCGAAGTAGTCATCATTTTTTTTCAATTTTTGTGTCAAAAACGTTATTTTTTTGTCCTATTTTTTGTCGGATAATTTTCTGTTTGTTTTTAAAATGAAATTATATTACCTGGTATGCTTTTCAAGCAATTCCTTCCATAGCTAGGGATTTTGTATACTTCAATTCGAACAATTTTTGGTTGATAAAAACAATTTTTACACTAAAGCGAAGCGGAGCTTCGCACCACTTGCAATATAACACAATCATGGAAAGAGCATAAGTCAAAAAAAAAATGAAAAAGGTGCCAAAAAACAAGGTGAAGCCAAATTGTCGTGTTTCTCAATGAAGGACTCCTAGCAATTCGCTAAAGCTGGAGGTACAAATTTGATGATTTTTGAAAATGTTTTCCATAGACCTCACTTTTCTAAAGCAAAAAAACATAGAGTAGTCAACTTTGCTGGAAAAATTGCGCAACCGTTTCTTTCGATTAATTTTTTCGTCTCAAATTTGATAAGGTAGTTTTTAAAAAAAATCAAAAAGTTTCTAAAAAACGGTTAAAATTCAAAACATGATTTTCGGAAATCGGTTATTTGGAGAAAATTTGGTTAATCGTTAATTTTGCTTTTAAACTGGAGAACTTTCCCAGAATTGGGTTTCCCGATTGAAGTATTAACCTGGGAATTGGCACGGTATTTTTTGAGTAGATTAAAAAATTCCAAAAATGGTCAGATTTTAAAAATTTGTTTCAAGTCAAAATTGTTTTTCTAAAAGAAACTGGGCATAGAAATTTTTAAGGGTAAGCTTTCAACAACTTGTTGGGTTGATTAATCCTATGATATCAAATTAGGCAGGACACGTAGCGAACAAATCCAAAAAATAGTCAACAAATCAAAAAGTTGACATTTTCGAAAAACATAGTTTTTTGTTATAAAAAAAGGGCGCAGCCGCTTATGCAGAAAAAAAATTCACCAAGAATCAACGTTTTTTGTAATAGAAAAATGGGCGCAACTGCTTGTGCAGAATCAAATTACCTTATTTGTTATCTCGATTCAACCCAAAAATCTAGGTTTTGTAGGGTAGTTCTCGAGAAAAATCGAAAACTTTCAAAAAAAAAAACCGTTTCCCCCACAAATCATTTTGAAGGCTGTAGACAAAAGGGAAAGCAAAAAAGACAGGGGCAGCATGCAGGTATACAAAAGTTGTGGGCGGTTTTTCAATGTCTTTTTGAAAATCTGTAGAGGCGTTTTTGAGGAAAAAATTTTAAAAAATTTTGCAAAGCATCACAAAAAATACAAATTAAAAAACCCAATTCCATACACTTTCTTATGATTTGTTTTTATCAATTTTGGGAACTCTTGGCAAACATGCCAAGAAAGACATTTGAATTTCAAATTAACAACTGAACCAGACTTACATAGCGGAAACAAGGCCGACAATGTTTGAACAGACACCAGTTGAGCCGCAAACAGTTTTTTTGTCTATAAAACTTATAAAGTTTTCAAATCTTTTCTGAAACTACCTTGTAGTAACTGGTACCCACCCGTTAGTTAAATTTGAATTTTCATTCAATTGAGTATGTCAGCTGAAGAACATGTCAAGTGAAGAGCATTGAGCATGATTGAAATGATTTTGTTGAACTATTCTAAACAGAAAAAATCTAACTTCCAATTTGATAACGCTTGCTTATTGCAAGCCTAATAAAAATGTATGGGACTTTTTTGAAAAGACTTGATATTTTTTTAATTTTTAATTTTTTTTTTCAAAAAATTTCAAAAAAAGTACTTCCGATAAAGAGACGTATCACTCCCCTATCTGCTTGCATATTACTTCAGTCTTTATCTGCCTCATCCTATTTTCTACAGCCTTCAAAGAAAATTGTGAGAGGATTTTTGACCCATTTTTTTGAATTTACAGTTTCCTCAACAACTAGTAATGCAAATCTAAAGCTTGGGTTCAATCGAAACCACGGGTTATGAGAAGCTCCAAGCATAAACAGTTATGCCCAATGGTTTTTCTTAGAATAGTAAATATATATTTTTAAGTTTTTGATTTCTTTATTTTGTCGGCTGATTTTTGATTCGTTTCTTTTTCAAATAAAAATGATTTGATCTCGCACTCTCTCCAAACAGTTTTTTATCAAAATTTGGTTTTTAAATTTTTTATTTGCACAAATCCTGGTCAATTTAATCATGGTTTATAAAAATTGTATGGAGTTTGCATTTTATTTTTTTTTTGAATTTTTTTCGTTTCTCAAACTTTTGTTACTCTCATAAATATTTTAAAATCGCATTTCGAAAAACTAGTTAAAACACCTCTCAATACCCTCTCTTCTGTTGAGAAGGTAAAACGGTAGTCGTCTAATTGTTAATTCCAATACAAAAGATAGTCAACTTAATCTTACAAAGTTAGCATAGAGAGTGGTTGAGAACAGTATCCAAGGGTGACAGACTGTTCCAAGGACAAACACCTGCTAATCAATTAGTCTAGCACCGAGAGTGGACATTTAATTGACAGCTTCCGAAATGAACTAATTTACTCTATACAATACTTCCCCTTCGATAATGAATCTTTAGTTGAATGATTTCACTTGTTGATTTTGAATGACTGAAATGGTTGATTATTAATGGTTGAAAAAGAATTACTAGCTTCATG